TGTTTCCATTCCTTATAACAATGACTTTCAATTGGTATCTTATTCTCAAATGGTTGAGTTAAGTAGTCTTTCAAACTGGGTATTGATGGTAAAGATGAAAGTGATGTACAGAAATAGTTTCTTAAAGATGTGCTAATATCTTGCTTGTCATGATCTGTTAAGATGAAGGATGATAATGATGTGAGATAGGCTGTCAATGTCACAAAGATATTACAAGAGCAGCTTTATATTCCCAAACACAGTTGGATAATATGAATCAAAAAGTAGAATTCATGATAAATCATAATAACCTATGTACACACTACTCTATGTCCCCAACGCCCGAGTCACAAAGTCGTTACCTGACTGAGCCTGCGCCTGTCGCAGGTCTTCCCTGCTCTTCAGCACCTCGTCACTCCACTTGGTCACTTCCCCCTCCAGTCTCTTCTTCTCCTCCGTGAGCTCCTTCAGCTTTTCTCTCTCGTCCTCATCAAGTCTTTCTCTTCTCCGCTGTTTCCCGTTTAACTCCTCCAGCCACTTCCCCCTGTTATCGTCCTCCTTGAACTCCCGCGATACAGCCTCCGCCTTCGTTAGCTGGTCCTCAGCCTTCGTCAACTGTTGTCTAACTTCTTCAACGCTTGCCAATTTGTTTGTTCGTTTTGTTTCGATGGTACTGTTTGTACTGCGCGATGTGATCTAATACCGTAATATACTAACGCTGATCAGTGGCTTAATCAATGACGTCAAAAGATTTTATATAAGTACCCTAGCCATGGCGAAAAAAAAGTTACTGGTCACGTGTCACCAATAAGAATGCGCGAATTTTTGATTTACTAGTGACACAAACCAATAAAAATGCATAAATTTTTGATCAGCCCGGCAAAACAAATCCGACACAAGAAAATGAAAAAAGCAAAAAATGTAAAAAATACGGGAAACAGATGCCTAAATCTAATTTGATAGACTAACAAAAAATGTCGGGAAGGCAATTTTATATATAACTTTGATCACAGATCTAACCTTAACCCTAACCTTGAAATTAACCTTTAACAATAATCTCTTATCGTAGAATTTTTCCGGACATACCCGTAACTTTTTTTTCGCCATGGCTAGGGTATCCATTTTATATGAAAACATTTATAAAAACTTATTAATTATTAATTTAAAATAATTTCTTAGATTTTTGGAACTTTCGACAGTAAAATAATATTCTACTTGTTTTTAATAACTACGTAATAATAAATATTGCATTTCTAAGTTGCTTCTTGTCGTTATCATCATAATTATTAAGAAATTATTTGATTTTGGTTATTATAATATTTAATTAACGTTATCTGTATGTTGTGAAAGTGACATGTCCTTTATGATCAGATATTAATATTACTCGTACACTTTTGCAAGAAGCATTAGTGGCTAGTATAAAATCATCTTTCTATTTTTTTCATAACATGTACACGGTAGAATTTGATAAACGGTCAATTAGAGTTAAAATTCCTTTAATCAGGCTTATCAAGAAATTTATTATCGTTATATATACGTACTGTTGCAATTCAATCTGGTTTATCGAGGATTTAATTAGATCGAGAGTCCGGCTTATCACCGTGTACAGTCAAGGCTCGACTTAACAGCTATACAATTAATGATTTTTTGTTCCCAGATCAATATTTTAGCGATATCGATATCTTGAAATTTGATTACCGATTCATCGGTAAATCGTACTAATAAACTGCGTGATAATCAAATTCGCTATGTAACGATTTTTTTCCGGTTTATTTACTCTCTTTGAAAACGACTACGTATTCTCCAACACCAAAAATCATCTAACCTATCTTTAATGAGTACATGTACCAGTACCTGTTCGAAAAAAATCGTCCCAATCTAACCAGCTATTTTTGACAAGTGGAATGTACGTCATTGTTATTAAAATATAAATATCGCTTATCAGTGACGCCATAGTACTTTTTTATTGCCAGTGCATGGTTATACACAAAAAATGATGAAGTAATTCTGATATAATGAATCTAAAGAGAAATCCAAAAAGGATTATAGCAATTGATTACGCACGACTATCGATTTGCAGTCTGTTAAATGCGCTTTCGAATTTTCTGATTTATAAGAATAGATAAACTCTCACTTACCCATATCCATTTATATCAAAAAACGCTGCTGCAATTCATTATAAAACACCGTCAATTTTTGAAAACCGGAAATCGCTAACACAAGTTTCTTTGGAAAATCTGACTGCCGCCTCATCGATAGTATCAATAATATACATACTATATATGTATATCGATATTAATATTTTTGTGGTGTTTGTGGTTACCTTGTTTAGTAATTTTTCTCGATTCTAAAAGAATTATAGAGAAAAATTTAATAAAAATGTGGAGAATGAATAGTGAAAATGTATGCCAGGTTTTTGATTGGTTGCTTCCACAGGAAATAGTAAAACAAGGTGAGAGTATGGGATCTTTGACTTCTGTCGCTTTTCCTCCCCCCGTACGCGTCAAAATATTATCTATCTTTACCAGATACCACAAACAACTAGAATGTTCCTTGACTAATATTCATTAGCTTCTCTTCTCTTTCGGGTGGTGTCCCTTTCTTAATGAATATTGCCTTACATAGAAATAAAAAATGATCACTCAAAAAGACGAGCTTTATTACAAGCACGAGCCGTAGTTACAGTTACTGTGTCTGCTTTTTTCGCACTAGTTACACAACTTTTTCTGGATATGTATTCAGCGTTTGGGTTCCGTGAACAGAATTCGGAAATGATTCGAGAAATTACTGTTTTATTGTCACTTTGGGGGACCTTAATATATTCCGGTTAGTTTTTTTAGATTAGTTTGGGGCACATAATAAAGGACTACTAATATATACGCACGGGTATTTCATAATATATGGTTATGTAGCAATACTTTATGCAATTCGATACGAGACACTAAGCATTACACATGCAGCAAAATTAGGAATCTACTCTTTCATTATGATATCTGCGTACGCGGCAATCTTTGGAAATGGCAAGTGTTTATTTAATTTGTGTAATCAAATAATGATGGTTTATCTAAACCAAAGTATGAGAATTCATATTTTTTTCGTGTTTTTCTTTTTGTTTTTTTACATGTATTTTTGAAGCAGGATTCCATACACTCAGTCATGCAAATTTTTTCGCAGTTCCTCCGTTTGGGTTAGTTATTTCCATCTTTTTGCAAGATTAAATGAATTGTTTCTTTACGCATTTACTTAAGATGATCAATTATTTTTGAATGAATGTCCTTTTTAGATGTATATTTGTTTCCAAAAACTTTGGAAAACAGACATTGCTTATAGTTTGTGTTGTCTACGTGGTTGCTTTTTGTCGGTAAGTGTGTCCCAAATTCATCTCTCCGAACATCTAATTGATCTGTTGATAAATGATTAACGGTTACAGATCAATTGGCCGAGAAGATAACCCACTTTCGTTCTCGTCAACCGGTTGGGTAGTTTGCGATGTGTATATCTTGTGCTTTGTGTATTTCCTTTTTGTAAGTATGAATAATCGAACACATAACTATTCAAAAATAACATGTTATACAACAACGCATGACATTTACTCATGGAATTTGATTCTGTTTAAAAAGGCGGCATATGAACAAGAATTCTCTGTGAATCAAGATAACATGCAAAGAAGCTTGGACGAGGTAAAAATTTACCTTGGTTTTGTGTATCCAGATCGAAAGTACGGGGAATTACGCGTCATAATTTATATCATTAATAATAAAAATAATAATTTATTCTGTAAAAGGCAAGATCTGCGGCAACAGCCAAATCAATGTTCATTTCGAATGTGAGCCACGGTAAAGTGACTTTAACATATTAATTTAATTTACTGTCACATACAATAATAATTTTTGTTTTATCTGTTAATTTATGTGTACGAAACGTAGAATTACGAACGGTTAGTAAAGAAAGTTATTGGTCATGGTTGTTCTTGATTAGCATCATTATATGGGATCTAATATAATCGAATTTTTTTTTAATATTAAATTTCACGGGATCTTGCCTTGCAATCAAAGCCATTACACGGTAATCTACTCAATTTTCTTTTCCTTTGATCCAATTGTCTTCTATCTTTCGCCATTTCATATGTCAATACGACTTCAAATTATAAAACAGGTATATTAGCGACGGTCGAAATTCTCGGTAGAACACAACTAAACGAATCCCAATGCGCGCTTCTGAACGCGATCGAGAGCTGCGGAACCAACTTGATTTCTGTAAAGTTTTAATGATTAATTATTATCCTTTTATAGAAAAATCAACCCACAAAGTTAGATTCATCGAAGTTTTCTTCTTGATTTTTGTCTCTCTCTGTGTGTGTATATATATGGATGGATTTATATGTCACATATCATACACATGCACATCATTATACAGGTCGTCAATCAAGTGTTAACATTTGCTAAAATCGAGCACGGAAAAATCGAACTAGAAAACAATGTTTTTGATATTTTCACATTGATACAAGAAATCGGTGATGGTAAATAACCAATTATATTTATAACTTCTTTTTCTGGAATTTATAATATTCCACGTAATTTTTTTGAGACACGAATATCAATCCATATATAATTAGGGTTAGCACCTATACCGGAGCGTAAAAGACTTGATCTCGTTATTTTCTTCAAAGTGAATCCGTCGCATCGGTTTATGATTGGAGATGTCGGGTGTATGCGGCAGATAATATTAAATGTATCTAAAGAATTATTTTTCTGTGCTTGATTTTGTGTACGTGAAAGTAACTTATTCTTTTAATCACATTAAAATAATTAATGCTAACAGCTTCTTGGAAATGCGGTATGTTTTCATTTTATGTTTGATCTAATAAGTGATCAATGATTGTATTATCGATCAATTAATACAACAATTTCAACAATTGATTGATTTTACTTAATAATAATTTAAACCAGATAAAATTCACTGATCGTGGAAGAATCAAGCTAAATGTAATAGAACTAAACCTGGATGATGAAGAATCTGCTAAGCAACCAAAAAAAGTTGCCAAAAATGCAGAAGTTTCTAGTGGTGATGGCGAACCGGCTTCGAAGAACGTAATGATTCGTATAGAGGTTATTGATACTGGACGAGGAATCGCTCCCGACTTCTTGGCGCACATGTATCAACCGTTCTCGCAGGTAGCTTTTTGTTAATAGTAATGATATGTGTTTATAAATAACACAAACTCGAAGTTGATAGCCGTGTAGTTTACATAGATGAAGAAACAATTGTTTACGTGTAACAATGATCTGATCTTTTATATAATTAGGAGGATTCATCGTTACGACGAAAATTCGAAGGTACTGGGTTAGGACTGAGCATAGTAAAAGGTGTGTTAAATATACTGTATAAAATTCATACATCACCAAAATGATGTTCCACTAATTTTTAATTTGCGTGATATCAATAATCAAAAAAGGTTTACTGGACATGATGCATAGTCAACTCGAAGTAAAATCCGATACCAAAAATGGCAGCAATTTTTCATTCTGTCTTACCCTTCCGATCTCTCCTACATTCGAAGACATGCATGTTTCCCCGCTGCCATTTTCGCACGAACACCTTAAACTACCAGCACACAAACAAGAAGAGCTCATCGCACAATTACGATCACTTTCGTTTGTCATTCTGAATCGTTCAAGTTTTTTGAGTTTGCAGCGAATTTCCGAGTATTTCACTGAGTGGGGGTTCAATTATCGTATTGTAGAAAAAGAAAATATGAAGAGCGAGTGTTCAAAAGAAAACTGTGATATTATTTTACTGAATGATAGCATTACTGATTTGCAATGGTTCTTGAGCGAGTTCAAGACGCAGCAACCTGATATCCCCGCTATCTCGACTGCAACTACCAATACCGTTGCTAGAACTAAACCAGTGTCGAGAAAGGGGCAGTCGACGAAAACAGCAATTCGACCCGATCAATGTGTGGTATTCTTTTCTACAATTGCAGAGTATGATAAAGCTGAAAAGATTTTGAAAGAATTTAAGCCACGATCAGCTGTGGTTGTATCAAAGGTAGTTAATTTAGTTTTGGTAATATCTATTTCAATTACAATTTCAATATAACATAGTTCCAAATATTGTTGATTAGCCAGGAGGCCCAGTAAAATTCTTAAACGCAACCATAAAAGCGATGGAATCCATTCGCTCCCAAAAAACTGTAGAGACCACTTGTTCCTCCCCCTCAGCTTCCTCATCTTCCTCATTATCGGGAAAAGCCAACACCGATAGCGACAACGTGATACTACTTCACACAGCTGGCGAATCACAACAATTCACCAGCGAAATGTTAGACGAAGACGAATTACTATTCTCGCCGAGTATTTTCGGTTCTGCTGCAACCAATCCCTCGTCCCAAGAGATTCATGAGTTGCAGAAACACATTGAAGAGCAGCTTTTGTCTTCACCGCCGATTGAAGTTGAAGATTCAATGCGTCAACAGATTGAAAAGAAAAAACCTGAAAAACAACGAATAAAACTACAAGAACAACAACAAACAATAAATAGTATTGAAATCAAAAATGAAAAGGAAAACAAAGAGAACATTGTAATGGAGGAGGAAGAAGAAATAAGGGAAGAAAAGGTGAAAAAGATGAAAAAGAATAAAAAAACAGGCCAGGATAAGTTCTCGTTTTTGGTGGTGGAGGTAAATAACTTTATTTCTTTCACATTGCCTTTTTTCTCAAGTATTTATTTTTTTATAATAATAATAAATTCAAAGGATAACAAAATAAACGCCATGATTTTGACAACCATGCTTAAACAAGCACACTACAGAAATTACGATGTAGCCAATAATGGACTTGAAGGTTGGTTGGGTGGTTGGGTGATTGCAATATTTTCTATAATTTCGCCACCATCATCATCATTCTTATTAATTAGCTGTCGAGAAATTTGCACTAAAAAATTACGATATAATATTCATGGTGAGGATTGTTATAAATTTTCTATTCGATTTCTTTTCTTTTTGTATTGCTAGGCATTACGATTTTTGGATATGATTCTAATATTATTTCTGTCATTTTTTTTTTGCATCAATTTTTTTGTTTTCCATTTAATAATCAATGTTTCCACACATCTACGCATAGGATCTTCAAATGCCTATTTGTGATGGGGTGAGTTTCTTTAAAAAGCAGCACTGTTTTTTCAAATCATAATTTAACTTTGGATTTTACTCCTGTTTCAAATACACAGATTGAAGCCACAAAAGAGGTATTTACTTATATACAATTTACTACAATATCGTTAAATAACAATAATAAATTTCGAAAAAAAACCAAGATTCGCAAACTAGAACGCGGAGAACCATCACACCTCTTACCCTCAACACACACAACAATAGAATACAAAACAGCTGCCGAAGAATGTCACAACTCTCTTGCAACTACTAGGAAACGACGAAAAAAAGCAATTATTGTTGCAATGACGGGTCTTGCTTCACAGGTATTTGTCGAAATAACATCTTTTAAATCTTTAAAAATAGATCGATGGTAGATAGTAGTAGTTAGAATTAGAGATGCACCTCTGTATTCGCGTTGATGAATTCAAGACTAATAACAAAGGTCATTTGATATTTCCTACGTTTTTTGTAGGAGGATAGTAATGTTGCGGTATTTATTTTTTTATTGTTAAATTCTTGCATTGTATAATTGATATTAATTTGATATTTTCACTTAATAGGAGCAAGCTGGTAAGTCTAAAAATTCCAATACGGTCAACACCCATGATATATTATTAATGGTTCGATTCATATCAATTTTTTTTTCGTACATAATTAATTAAGGCTGTAATGAATTTTTGACAAAGTGAGGAAAAAATATTTGGACTTCGCGTTTTGTTATTGATAGTTTAAATTTTATATGTTATCAAGAATAATAATCACTCCTTATACAATCCAGACCTGTTTCGATAAAAACGCTACATTCACGAATGGAAGAATGGACACGTGAAGCATTGAAAAGACAACACGAAGAAGCAGCCCAAGCAGCACAAGAACCAGCATTATTAGAAGAACATCACGAAGAGAAAATAGAAGAATTGTCAGAATCGCCGATAACTACTACAACAGCAATGCCACAATCATCATCATCATCATCATCATCATCATCATCATCAGCTACAACATTCTTGTCAACATCGGAAGAACGTAAGGAAGCTACGGAAAAACACAGCATAAGTGTATCACTATCACCATCATCATCATCATCATCAACGTCATCGCTCTCAATAGAAAGGAGGCTTTCTGGTCACGGTGTAGATAGCAACGAAAGCAATACCATACCTATGAGTTCACGGCAGAAACAATAATGATATATGATACGTATTATTTCACACACAATTTGTATAATAGACTTTATAGACTACAGTATATCGATATTAAGCTTTTCAAAAAATGTGAAACGCCATAATATTGTGTGTGATAACCTGGAAATGCAAGTTGAGACAGCTATTTTATTTATATTTTTGTCTGCAAATTATGTATGTATTATTGGATTTTTTTCTAGCCTACAGGCAATACCAATACTTGAACCATCTAATTAGATGCTTCAATAATGAAGGTATCGTTTAATCCGTAGTCGGTCTGATCCGGATGTAATATGCCGATTACAACTAAGATAAATCGAAACGATTAAAATCGATTATCATGTATCCCAATTCCTATATCACATGGTTTTTTTTTTAACCATGTACATGTATAACGATAACAATAAGAATTTTGTAACGTTCTATTACATGTAGTAGAACTTCTCAAATTGTTATATCGAGTGAAATTTTTATGTCTCCTAATAATCGGATATTGAGAGTCATGTCATTATATCGAGGTTTTATTATGATGTCATTGTATAAAGGAGTCGTTATAACAAGATCCACATTAAATCCTTTAATTCCATAATTTTTTCTTAATTTCCACATGAATATCTTTCCATGATTTTTTCTTAATTTCCAATATCTTTACATAATTTTCCTTGATAATTCCTACATGATAATCCTTCTAAAATTAGTCTCTTGTGTAATAGCCAAATTTAGAAATATTTCATTATGAATGAACATTACATACCGTTATGTTCATTGTTTTGGCGTTCTGCTTATCCTAAAAAGATCTCGAATAGAACAATACGTATTTATTCTAAAGTGTAAAAGCTTTAGTTTCCATATACGTATAGAGGGTGGGTATTTTTACTCCTCTTCATTTCATGCTCCTTGTGGGCGTACGTATCATTTTTCATGCATCAATCGTTTGACAAACACATGTGAACGACGACGACTTCCACTCCACCACATATAAATC